TTTTTTTTTTTAGTTTTTGTAGAGATGAGGTCTTGATATGTTGCCCAGGCTAGTCTGGAACTCTTGGCCTCCCAAAATGCTGGGATTATAGATGTGAGCCCCTGCGCTGGACCATCCTGCTGTCTTTTTAGAAGTAAATTGTTAAACTGTTCTTAAGCCACCTGCATCAGATAGACTATACAAAGAACCATAGTTTTTTTTTTTTAGAGCTAGAAGTGACCACAGAATACATTGAATATATCCCTTATTTTATTTTTTCATTCACCTATTTATTCAACAAATACTGACTAAGGTTGTTATGTACTGCGTGCTGGAGGTATAAAGATGATTAAATATACAGAGTTCGTGTGCTCCTGGAGCTTACAGAGGTAGTAGCAGACACTCAGTCACTTGCTATGGTCCTATAATTTGATGTTATATGAGAGGAAGTTAGGGTGTTATATGAGAGCTCATGGGAAGAGCACTGAATACAGACTTAAGGGAAGCCAGGGAAGGATTCCCAGAAGATGTGATGCCCAGATATAAGTATAGAGGGAAAGAAGAGGGTTCTAGGAAGAATGAACAGCTTGTCTGGAGGTCCAGAGGCAACAGAGCATCTACCCAAGAGAAACTGAAAAAGTCACATCAAGAGGGAGCCTGGTCAGGGCACCATGAGCGGGATATGCAGGGTTTTATGAGCTGGTTAACAAGTCTGGACTTTAACCTATTGGATGACAGAAAGACACCAGAAGATTTCAAGCAAGAAGGTAACATAATGTGATTTACATTTTAAGATCACTTTGGCTGCACTTTGGAGCAGGGGTTAGTCAAGGGAAAGGGTAGAGCAGAGATGTTTGGAGATTTTGGCAGTTGTTGAGACTTCCTTAGAATAAAGTTCAAATTCTTAAAAGGGATGACAAACCCCTCCCTTCTCAGATCTCTAGCTACCCCTCATTTCTCACCTTCTTCCCCATCCCCACCGCTCCTCTTTCAGTTTCCCAGATACAGAATATTCTTTGCCCACTCTGAACCTGATATCTGAACCACTTTTTCCCTCAGATTCACTTGGTGATTTGTCCTCCAGGTCTTGCTTAAACATCACTTGGTTCAAACAGTCTCATCTGATCTCTCCCTCCTTTCTGTTTGAAAATTTCCATAATGGTTTTTTTTTTTTTTAAGTTTGCATGCTATGGAAGAAAAGAGCATTTTTGTCACCAGATGGTCTTTGGATGCCTTAGAACTGGAGCCAATAAGTGTGGCTTCCTGAGTCAATGGGCTGAA